TCTCTTTTACTCCCTTCATATACTCCATGTTATTGCCCTCTAATTTATTGTAAGACTAATTTGCTTATCTTGCTTATTACTCAGTTCTCCTCACCTGAGTATGAGTCCCAGGAGAGACAGTGGTCTGTTTAGTTGTCTACTGGATTCAACACCTAGAACGGTCTTGGCAAGGAGGTATGTAAGAAATTTTTGATAAATGGATGGATATCATTCTGACATTAAGTCATGAATTAAGCCAACATTTACTGAGTCCCTACTCATTGTACTAAGAATGTGAAAAAAAAAATCTCTCATCCCTAAAGAAGCTTACATCTTTTATCAGACATACAGGATCCTCGCATGTATGAAAAAATAAGAGGAACATAAAAATAATAAGAAAATGCTGAAGACTTTTTGGATTGAGATCTATACACGCATATGTACACATATATTTTCAATCTATTTATGAGAACCTAGAAATAGTAGACATAGGATGACAGCTTGCAGAAACTAAAAGATATGGACATTAAACCATAGGTATTGCTACTTCCATGAGATAACTTAAAATTCTACATTTCTTGGGTTTAATGATGGGAAACTGCTAAATCTCAGGCAGAAAAATCTCAATAATTTTTTCAATCTGTCAGTTCACAACATAGCTCTCTATCAAATATATTGACATCAAAATTATACTATATGTTACTATTTGATGCCAAAGAAATTCCAAGTACACTGAATTACTTACTTGCAACTAGTGGTTCTTCTTGTGAAGGTTTGAAGTAAAAGGAAACCTTTTCCAAATCAAAGAGAGCAACCAGCGTGTCTTCTAACATGGCTTGTTCATCTGTCTACAAAGAAAGGACAACCATAAATAATGTGATACAGTGTAATGAAATGGACTGGAACATGACATCATGTAAGTTTAGATCAAAAATGGTTTCACTTGTGCTGTATGTACTATTTACACACAGGTGCAAAACAAAATTTTCAACATTTCTCTAAAATTCACTTCCCAAAAGGAAATTTAAAAACCCCTCAAAGTTGTAGGTTTCTTTTTTAAAATTTTTACTTTTTTGAAACAGGGTCTTGCTCTGTCTTCCAAGCGAGAACACCAGTGGTATCATCATAGCTCACTGCGACTTTGAACTTCTGGGCTCAAGTGATCCTCCTGTCTCAGCCTCCCAAAGTGCTAGGATTACAGGCACGAGCCACCTCGCCCAGCCTACAAGTTTCTTTTAGGGTTTTATTTTTCTTTTTCCCAATTGTTTAAAGAGTTATATCCACATATTTTTCAGTTTATTTTGTAACCAAATTCCAATTTTATTTATTATTTACAAATAAATACACAAAAAGCATGCTAGCTTCTAACCTTCCAAAATCTTAGAAATTATAGCTGCTGATAAGCTAAATTACTGTTTTAGTCAAAAGCCACACTATATAATGGCCATCCTATTTTGTAATAAGATAATTTACCAATTATTCAATTTGTTGTTTATTAGAACTACAATTAGGGTAATTTCCATGTATGTAATTATTCCAAGAGCACATGCAGTTCACCTCACTTGTCTTTAAGAGACCTTAGCCTAGAGTCTTGTGAATACCCAATTTGTTTTTTCATTCATCTCATTCTTACAGCACATGATTTTATAGCTGAGGCAGATAATGCCCAGTCACCATAATAAATTCAGCTCATGTCTTAGTGTTAACATCTTTCTAGTTCTAGATTCTGGTCTTTCTATCAGCAGTTTAAGGCATTCTCTACAGCAGTGAACCCAAACCATTTTGGTACCAGAAAGCAGATACATGGAGGACAAATTTTTCCCCAAATGGGGGCAGGGGAATGTTTTGGAGATGATTCAAGTACACTGGATACCCACTCAGACCATCAGGCATTAGATTCTTAAGGAGTGTGCCCCCCAGACTCCTCCCATGCACAGGAACCTTACAGTAGGGTTCCTGCTCCTCTGAGAATCTAAGGCCGCTGCCAATCTGACAGGAGGTGGAGCTCAGCGGGTGATGTGAGCTATGGGAGCTGCTGTAAATACAGAAGAGGCTTTGCTGGCTCACCCGCCACTCACCTCCTAATAGACCACAGCCCCGTACTTGTCCATGGGCCAGAGGTTGGAGACCACTCCTCCACAAAGTCTTTTACTAATTCTGCTATGAAAATATAATTAATCTTATCATACACAGCATATCTTTTAAAGGTTACATTTGTTTCCTTAAGAATGTCCGTTATCCTTTTAAACAATAACGTTAACTTGCTGAACACAGCATTTTAAAAAGCTGCTGCAAGCTTGTAGCCATATTTGGGGGGAGCATGGGTAGAGAGTAAAGGAGATGACAAAGAATTTCCCATTGTGTGAAAAAGAATCAGCCCTAGACTCCAAAAAAGCAGATTGCAAAGGAAGAGGTTGAGAGAATCATCACCCTCGTACCCGGTTTGATACTTAATACAGTGGATAGAACATAGTAAGTGCTGGGTAAATGTTTATTAAGTCATCATTATTTAAAATCCTTTCCAAGCAGCAGAAAAATGACACGAGCCTGGAATGGAAGGGGAGAACTGATAAATCTGCATTTTTCTGATTGAGAGGACTAAACACAGGAAGGGAAGTCCCAGAAAGTCTATGGTGCAGGTCACAAAGCTCCAGCACATGTGGCCAAAGCAATACGCAAAGGGCCACTGGCTAGGACTAGAGCCTGAGGCCACACAGACCACCAGCTGTCTGCAGCTACCAGAGAGACAGTCACATTTCCTCCTTCTTTTTTTTTTTTAAGACAGAGTCTCACTCTATCACCCTGGGTAGAGGTCTGCGGCATCATCATAGCTCGCAGCAACCTCAAACTCTTGGGCTCAAGGGATCCTCTTGCTTCAGTTTTTCTTTTTCTTTCTTCCTTTTTTTTGGTAGAGACGGAGTCTCATCTTGTTCAGGCTGGTCTTGAACTCCTGAGCGCAAGCAGTCCACTCGCCTCAGCCTGGGAAAGTGCTGGGATTACCAACGTGAGCCACCGTGTCGAGTGAATGCCAAAGTGGATTTTATGTTCTTGTGATAAAGGCAGAAGGGCTGTGGATTTCTTTGAATTTTTTTTTCCTTAGCCACCTTTGGATTTTTAAAATCCAATTCCTTAAAAAGTAAAGGATTCACAAGACCACTTTAAAAACAAACAAACAAACAGCTTCACGGAGATACAATTCACATGCTGGAAAATTCACCTACTGACAGTGCACAGCCCAGGGGTTCTGAGTTTGTTCACAGAGCTAAGCAGCTATCACTGTAATTGAACCTCAGGGTATTTTCAACACCCCAAAAAGAAACCCAGTACTCATTGGCATTCCCATTTCCCTCCCCCATCCCCAGTTACAGACAACGACCAGTCTAATTTCTGTCTCTACAATTTACCTAGTCAGCCTATTTCCTCAGAATGGAATTAAACAGTACATGGTCCTTTGTGACTGGCTTATTTCACTCAGCATGGCGCTTCCCAGGTTTATCCACACTGCAGCATGCATGAGCCTTTCGTTAATTTTTATTGCTGAGCAATAATATTCCATTATACAGAAGAAACATATCGAAGTTTCTTTACCCATTCATTAGCTGATGGGCATTTGGGTTGTTTCCACTTTTTAACTATTATGAATAATCTTGTTAGAAACCTTTGCAGACAAGTTTTTGTGCAATGTAAGAGTCCATTTCTCTTGGATAATACCTACAAGTAGAATTCCTAGGTTATATGAAAATTCTATGTGTGCTATTTAGAGAACAGCCAAACCATTTTCCAAAATGGCTGCCCTATTTAAAATCCCCATGAGCAATTCACAAGGGTTACACGTTCTCCACATCTTCCCCCACACTTGTTATTATGTCCTTTGAATTACAGCCATCCGCACCACATGTGATGCTGGATTTCATTGGGGTTTTGAGTGGTATTTCCCTAAGGGCTAATGATGTTGATCATTTCATGTCCTTTTTGGCTGATTTTATATATTCTCTGGAGAAGTATCTATTCAAATCCTTTGCATCCTTTTAACTATTTAGTATTCAGGTCTCTTTATATGTTCTGGATACAAGTCACATCAAATATATGATTTGTAAATATTTTCTGCTATTTCTTGAGATTTCAAATAAAATTAAATTTGAGGTAAAAGTACAAGCACTTGGTTAAACAATGATAGTTTTAAAGTAAAGAAAATAGACAGGAATGATCCCTTATTAATTCACTCCTTTAACAAATGATGACTACCATTAGGAAGTGGGTGTCCTATCATGTGACAGTTACATTTGATAAGCAATGGTTAGTATTTATTTTGTTTTAAATCACTGTCTCAAATATGTCTTATTTTAATTTTTTCATTAATACAGCTAAGTAAGAAATGGATCACCCACATGGAGTGCACAGAGTCTTTTCAGAAGCATCTACTTCTGTTTCTGTGAAGTACATTTAGGACTTTACAATTCCAGAACCTTCTACGGCTGTGCAGTGCAGTAGTCACCTTCCTATCTTCAACATTATTAAAGAGAAATATAATCTTGTATAAGCTCATACATATTTGCCTAAAAATTCAACTGTATTACTTGGTGGCTCTTGTGCATAGAGATGAAATTGGCTCTCATCTCTAAAATCACAATTCTATTTAATGAGCACCTAAAGTTGACATATATAAGTGAACGTGTTTGCTGTTACACATCATGGCAACTGTTCAAACCACAGAA